GCCTGAGATCTAGTAGTGCTATAGCTAATTTCGGTCTTTTTGCGTAGATTTAGTCACCAAAGCGGTTGAGAAGACAGGAGCCACTGGGCCTTGTGCCTTGGGCAATGGTCCTGAAAACCATCTTTAATAGCGTATATTATTGTCGTTTACTGTCTAGCCAAGTTAGGGGGTTTGGGTCTATAGATCTAGAGATACCTGTTAGAGTTTTAATGTTCAATGGGGGATATTGCATGGACCCTTGCCACAGGAAAGTAAAGCTTGTGTGAAATCATCACCTTAATGAACAGCATTCAAGGCCAGCTCCGCAGCTCCCCAGAATTATCAGGGATTACCAGTTGCAAGCTCAGGAAGGCTGGCTGTATTCTGGTTCTCGCCGTTCTCCGGTCACTCTTCTGGCGGTTAGGCGCGGGGGTATTCAAGAGAGATGATTACCCATGCTTCGCTTTGATTTCCGCATGAGGAAGTCCTGAGATCTGCATAAAAGCCAAGGCTCGGAATAATCCCGAATAATGTTTAAACTTTGTTCCTGCGACACAACGACCTTCTTCATTTGAGTATTCCACGATCATGTTCTTATCAAAACTCCTTCCATATAATGCTTGGGACAAGGTCATCGACTGTAGTAATAATCGTGGTAAGATATTCTTATCTCTTGATATGAAGATGGAAAGAGTTCTTAATAATCGCTGAGCTGATGAAATATTGGGATATAAAGATGGGCTTCCTGTACTTTCTTGATCGTTATTCATATCAGTCTCACCACTCCAGTCAACCCGATTTCTTTTTGTTCTTTGTGAATCCCAGTCTTCATTCTTCCGAGTTCCAAGATGCTTGTAAAAGGCCTCCTTCCTCTTCTTACCCTAGTGAAGATTGCGGTTTCACTTCCAGCGGCCCCCGTTCCTCCATCAGAAGGTCTTCGTCTTGTTAAAGTCTCAGAAGATGATGAGGGGACCTGGGTGACGGAAGACCAGAAGTTTGATTTGTTCATATCAAAGAAAATAAACTTTGTGGATGTTACTGATACCTGGGTAAGTTCGCTATCCCTGACTGCGCATGCTCAAACCGTTATATTGTAACTAACAAAAGCCAAAACAATTGGAAGAATTTGGCGCAGTAACAGATTCTTCCCTCGAAGCTCGTCAGATCTCATTCCCCAGTGGGCCTACCCACCAATCTCAAGCCAATCCCTTAATTGCTGTAGCAGGCAAAAGCAATCCTCAAAGCTGGACAAACACTTTCACCAGCTACAACAACCGCTACTATCGATCCACAACTGGCGTGACTTCCGCAACATGGCTGTATAACACTATCAAAAATATTGGAGCTGCGAACTCTGCCATCACTGTAACCCAGTATTCACACTCTGCTTCGGGCTTCAGTCAACAGAGCGTGATTGCAAAGATCCCTGGAACAAGCAGCGCCACAGGTATTTATAGGTTTTGTACTCGGAAGAATTGACAAAAGCTAATTGCTCAAATTGTAGTGGTCATCGGTGCTCATCTTGATAGCGTTGGTACGACGACTTCAGGTAGGGCACCCGGTGCTGGTGACAATAACTCTGGAACGGTTACTATATTGGAGGCTTTCCGGGTGCTTGCCAATGCAAAGTTTGCCCCCGCAAACACTCTTGAGTTTCATTGGTATGCTGACGAGGAAGGTGGTCTTCTTGGCTCTCGTGCCATTTTCAACAGTTATGCCAGTGCTGGGCGTAACATCAAAGCTGTCCTCGTCCAGGACATGACCGGTTATTCTCCAAACAACGTCATCGCTGTCTACACGGACTATGTTAGCACTGCTTTGACAAACTTCATCAAAACTCTTGTTCCTGTTTACACTAGCCTGCCGGTTATCACTGATGTCTGTGGATACGGGTGCAGTGACCAGTAAGTTCCTAGTTATCTCTATATTCATTCTCATTAGACTTGATCAGTGATTAACACAGTCTTCGCATGATAGTGCTTCAGCAAACTCAGCTGGATATCGTAAGTTGAATCTTCGCTGGAAATCGTATGCTTGTTCTGACGCCCTATAGCTGCATCTTTTGTTACTGAGGATACCTTTGACGATTCATCTCCGTATATACACTCGGCTAGTGATACTGTAAGCACTCTCGATTTCGATCACATCCTCGAACACATCAAGGTAAGAAACAAAACCCCCAGCACCCGGGGACGGGCTTGCTGACATGCAAAATCTAGTTGACCATTGGTTTTGCTGTCGAGGCATCTTACTTTTAAATCCACGAGTGATGGTAGTCGAGGGAATATGTTGTTGACAAGGTGTCGTTTGGATCCCCCTATGTGGAGAAGAGAATGATGAGGTTTAAATAAATGCATTGATGTTGCATGGGCATGGTGACATATATTGCTGACCGCATGTACGTATGCTTGTGCCACCCACGTGTGCTAGGAAGGATGGTTGGGATGCGACATGCGGGTACATGTATTACATTTATCAAGTCGAAATTTCAAAGTCAAACTTCAAGTAAACTTTTTACAACGCCCGTACTCGTTTGGCGCGTACATGTACTTATATTTTCGTCTGTAGAATGATGTGATACACTGCCTCTTTATGCAACATACATTTTGTGGTTTTATTTCCCACCCGAATATGCCACGCAAGGATACTGTCCCACATCGTGCAGCTTCTTTTCAAGTCCATAAATGATCTCTAACCTAACAGCTGGGATACTGGTATTCACATCAAATACGCAGCAAGGGATCGAGTGATATTGTATGACTCTAGGTTACCTACCCCCTATTACCAAATGGAACGAGATAGTCTGTTCTTATATTTTACCCCATACCCCTACAATCAAAAGACTTTTTGGCTATTCACCGGCCAAATATAACGGGTAAAACTACCGTCGATGGGGGTGCCGAATTTGGTCTGGGTATATATAAAGCTCACCTGAAGTCCTCCACACAATTAATGAATTATCAATTAATCAATCGCCTGAAGCCCCGGTGGTCAGTAGTACCTTAAGCCAGTAAGCATCGAGATCTATAGTTAGGGATCTCAAGACCTATATTTTAATTTATGAATGCAAGGATCTACTGTTTTATGAAATGGAAACCTAAGAAGTGATTTTGAAAAGGAAGTATACTGGTCGGCCTGAATGCTGGGATCCAGGCCCTTTACATAAGGTCTTGTTTTAGAGTAGAACTCACTCATTTCTTTGTAATTATACTAGCTTTTATGGCGAAGGAAAACTCTGGCCATCTGGTGGAGTTGAAGGGATGGATTTAGTGATTCTCTCATGGCCACTATACTCTACATACTAGAACTGCAAACAAAGGTTCAGAGAACACCATAAGTTCATATTTAATCACAGTATAAAAAGACCTAGGCCAGAGCAAATTCCCAAAGAAACAAGAAATCGTTTTATACGTTTCTCGAGTTTAGGGCTCCATCCAATGCTCTTCCTAAATTTTTAATACTTATTTGCCTTGTAACGAGTTCTTCACTATAACAATAGAAGATTGAGGAACAAGCTCCACTATATACCATAAACCCATATATGTCGATCTACAGGCAAGTACAGGCACATACACGCACACAGGCCCTAGGCGGTAACACATGCGGAGTGAATCCTTATTATATAAAGACATAAGATGATTATCAGATACGTTACCTGAGAGAAAACATTACCAAAGCTCCCATACATATCAATCCTGGAGAATGGTAAGCATTATGGGGCCCAAACAACAAGCGGAAAGTAAGGTAGCCGGCTAACGCACTAGGTAATTTGAATCACCAAGTATCACTCGTCGAAACATAGCACCCTGCTGTTGAATTATGTCTTCAACCATACTAAACTGGTGTCTAGACATAATCTCAGAGACTTCTAAAGATTCTGCATGTTCAGCATAGCCATATAGCGCAGTAAATCGGTTAGCCGTTACTCCGCTAATGGGAATTGACTAGCTTAGGCATCCTACCGTATTAGCTGGCGATGGCTCTCACAATCGAGCTGCGAACCATGAAACTCTGGCCACGTGGTGATAGTGTGCTATGACAAGAGCTAGTTATAAAGCACAAGACGATGGCAGTAATATAGTTGAGCCACACCAACAGAGAACCCGAGGGGGGCCGCGTGGGAGAGGAAGACTAAACGCATAACTCCTTTATAATAGGTGTAGCTCCTTGACTCTGAGAGGGTTGTTTCCTCTGCAAGTCGGCTGCGGGTGCTACATCAGTTGTGGCCGATACTCTCATGCTCAACAAGCTCGATCGAGAGAAGCAAGTTCGTATCTAGAGCCAACGAATTTGGAGCTTCAGTGATTATTTGTTTGCCATTGATCTGCAAGATCGAGGCTCTAAAATCTAACATAGTTACTTGATCTCCCATGTATCTATGTTGTAGCCATGTTGGATTGATTATATTTCTGTCTGCCCACACGCATGTACGTACATTCTGCGTTTACGTGCATTGCATCTGGATGGGAATTGAGCTATAAAGAAACGTAGTACCCGCTCATATCGCTCCCATATATCCATTCTCAAGGAAATATCGTGTTTGTTGACTCCAGAAACAAAAAAAAAAGTAATCCAATTTGCCGATCCACATCGTGACAACCTCTTGCGGCATCATCCTCGAGCGCCCACATCAACACTGCTCACCACACGAAATTCCCGAGTAATAAATGTAACAAAGAACGCTTAATGAAGAGGATTAAATAAGTAATTAGTCACTTATTATCACCGGTATGGTATAGTATCTAATAATCACAAAATATCACTCGCAGGTTTTTCTCGTGGCACTCTGCGCTACACGGAGGGGTTTCCGCGGCTGATGATTGTGATACTGATGGGCAAGCCGCAGTGCTAAGCCTCGACGACTCAGCAAGCTTCTCTATGTGGGAATGTAGCCTCCCTTGACCTTCTGCTCGTATCCTGTACTTGACATCTCCATCCCGGCATCAACCCACCCCTACCACGCCCCTCTCCTCATCTCCGATCTTTTATCTCCCCCTATCTTATCTTTAAAAATTTAAGAAATGGCGCAGCGTTCAGCGGTTTCCCGAAAGTCGCTGAGTAAACTTATCATCAACGGTCAAACCCCGCCGGCACCGGCAGCGCCAAGTCAGCCGAAAGGCAGCAAAAGGCGTAGAGTTAGAGACAGCATCAGTACGTTCATGAAGCTAGGAAGGAAAAGTGAAAACGATAAAAGTTCTTCTGGTTGGAAGCGTCCAATAATAAGTGGACCAATCCCTATAGATGGGATAGAGTTGCAAGAGTTTCCAATTGCTAGCTCCTCTTCAAGTATTACATTGATTCCTATTCGGGAAAAGCAGATTGTTTCACATGTCGTCAAGGATGACATTAAAATTCCTTCTAGCCCCATCATTAAGGATCACATTGAAGCTTCTTTTAGTCCCGCCGTTAAGGATGACATCAAGGCTACTTTGGGCCCCGTCGTTGAGAATATGAAGGCCATATTTCATCCAAAAAAGGATCCAAGGAGGCGACTAGAGGATGTTCTAATATTCATCATTGAGAATAGGAAGGACACATCTCATGCGGCAAAGGAGAATAGGAGGTGGCTAAAGGCTACTTTGCGCCCCATGATTAAGAGTAGGAAGGCCACTTCTCATGAAGCAAAGAAGAGAAGGAGAGAACTGAAAGCCACTTTGCGCCCCATGGTTAAGAACAAGAAGGCCGCTTCTCATGCTGCAAAGAAGAGTAGAAGACAGCTAAATGCTCTCCTGCGTGAAGATAAGGGTAAGGAAAAAGAAGTCTCTTCCAACTTCGTCCCTCCCCTGGTCAAGAAAGAAGAGCCTCCTACTATTGTGATCACCAGGGCTCCAGAGCCAGGAGTTTCCGTCCAAACCGTAATTCCCGATGCCTCTCCAGCTCCTCTGGTTGAAAATCAAATATATCAAGAGCAAAATGTTCGACCTTTACAGATTTACCGAGAAGACGGTTCTCTGATCACTCAGGAAAACTTCGACGTAATGGAGTTGGTTGGCATGGTGAGGGATGAGTGCCCCAAGTATTTATTGCGTTTCTGGGACATGCTCCCACAACACATAAATAGCCCTCTCAACCACCAAATCATCAACACACCACAACAACTGAAACGGGTCTCAAAAATGTTTCGTCGTCAACCCCCCCGATCTATCGCCCATCTGCGTAACCCTAAGGTGCTCGCTGATCGCCTCGCCGTCGCCGAGGCTGCTGAAGCCGCCGCTTCTGTTCCAGGCAAAATTCCCCCCGTCCCCCGTGAGCAGCGCTACCCCACCAAAGAAGAAATCGTCGAAGATATCAAGAATGGACACGAGATTCCTGAATTTATGACTGTCGAGGTTGCCTACGAGAAGAGGTATAAGGATGCTATCTCGATGCTCTGCAAGGAACTCAAAGAGGTCAGTCGCATCTTGGTTGAAAAGGAGGACGAAGTGAGCACCTTTCTCGATACCCTGGACGTCTTTATGGATAGAGTAGGTGGGGGTGAGATTTATGACAGTGATGACAGTGATGGAAGCATCTATATCACGACCGATGATACCGATGGGGAGGCCGCTGGGGATACCAACCCGGACAGCGATGGGGCCGCTTCTATCCGCGAGAATGGTGAAGAAGACGACAAAGGCGCTGTTATGAAAGATGACTCTTCTGAGGATGTCGATTACTGTGCTTTGTACGGCTACATTGGCTACGACGATGATCTTGACGAGTCTCTACCCGCGTGTGACGCCGACGACGAGAAGGACGAAGTGGAGGAAGAGGAGAAGGAAGAGGAGGAAGAAGAAGATAAGGATGAGGGGGAGGGGGAGGAGGAAAAGGATGAAGAACAAGGTAAGGGTGAGAGTGAGGGAGAGGGGGAGAGGGAGAAGGAGAAGGAGAAGGAGAAGGAGAAGGAGAAGGAGAAGGAGAAGGAGAAGGAGAAGGAGAAGGAGAAGGAGAAGGAGAAGGAGAAGGAGAAGGAGAAGGAGAAGGAGAAGGAGAAGGAGAAGGAGAAGGAGAAGGAGAAGGAGAAGGAGAAGGAGGAAGAAGAAGAACACGACAAGAAGCAGGAGCACAGGAAAGTCTCTATCAATGAGTACGTCGCCCAAGAACACATTCTCATTCATTATCAGATGATTAACATTACTAGGCCCTCCAGCTCCGGCCACATGGCTCTTTGAAAATCTTCTCGAGCACCATCGGAGTCAATCGATCGAAACAGCGTAAGGTTAGATGGAATGGCTATCAAAAACGGCACGGGGGAGGTGTGAAATTGGGTAATGGGCTTTGTCATTTGTGGCTGCTCATGGGTGTGTTTTTGATTTCGTTTTTCTTTTCTGTCTTTTCATTTGTCTTTTCTTTTCCATTTCTCTGTCTTCTTTGAGTCCATTTCCTTTTTCCTTCGAATGTTCTGGCCACTACTGTCTGAGTAGTAACCGCTAAGCCAGAATCTTTAATCAAATCATAGAGTTGGGCTTTATACTTTATCATGATCATTGTGATGTCTGCTCAAAACGTGAAATGTGTTGACATTAACTCCATCCAGTCCATCTACGAATCGTAGTAAATAGCTGCAGTATGAACAAATAAAACAAAGTCATGAGACAAACAATTATTAAGCTAGAAATAGAGATGAAAAGACGTTTCACTAAAGAAAGACAGGAAAACAACTATGAATCCGGTGTCTCAACACCACGCTCGATCTATGTTTCCTCTCACCCTTCATCCTCCCAATCCATACCATCAACCGGCACACCGTAGTTAAACCCCTCCTCACCCTGCATCCTACCTGCATCAAAACAATGGGCCTGAATTCTCTCATTAAATCCCGGAAACATCATCCCCACCCGCGAGCAAGTATGTTCCCAATCCATCCCCTCACGAGCACACTCCATCTCCAACGCTTCCCCCCTCTCTCCAGATCCATCTACATACTCAACCCCTCCACCGCCGTTCAGCACCTCAAAAGACGGCGGGCTCTGCTTTATCTGCCCGATCTTCTCAGCACCAAGCTTGAGGTCCAGATCCGAAAGGTCGAAAATAATCTCCACCTCCTCATCTCCCTCCTCGATCTTTGGCAGCATCACCGATATCTTGGATCTTGGCTTCTTTGTCTTTGAGGTGGGAAGGATGCGGATGCTCTGTTGAACAAGCTTTATGAGCTCCCTGGTCTCGTTGGTACGGTCTACATAGGACTTGCGGAGAAATATGGGCGCTGACGAGGAGGAAGGCCGTGGCTTGTGGAACCGCTTCAGCAGCGGGGAGGTGCCGTGGACGGTGTATCGCCGCGAGCGGTGACGGTTACGGTGGCGGGACATTTGTCGGGAGATTGGGAATATAGGTATGGACAGGTAGGTATGTTAAGAGTTACCAGGGAACGGAGGAGGATCAAATATGGGTCATTAGAAGATCAGTGTGTTGTACGCAGGAAGTGGATTGGTAAATCTTTATTTTTGCATTCCCCTACTATTTATATTCAGGCGAGGAAGAATCATCATGGCTAGACAAGACCACTGGGACTAACACTTATAAAGGTTGCTCTCTCTCCCCCTCAGAAAATCATGATCGACCCTTCTGGGGGAATGAGGAATGATGGCGAAGGGAGACCGTTTACTTCTTTACGAAGATCAGGGACATACCAGCTTGCTATCTGGAGGTGTTAGAGCCTGAAGGTTCTCTCGGGTAGTCCAATTATCATGAAATAAAGAATGCGAGTTTGCATTATATTAATGCTCCTCCAGAGCTTTCGTTGCTAAGCTTAGCACATCAGTTGACGTTGGATGTCATTCTGCTACTGACAAAGAAATTACGAAATCATGGAAGGTCAATGATAGTTTGATGGCAACCGCCTCCGTCTTTCAAAATTTTCATATATACAAATGGAAAACGCCGTCGCAAGCCTCGCTAGCTCAATCGACTCTTAATCTCAAGGTTGCGGGCTCGACCCCCGCGTGGGGCTCTCTATGTTGACTTCGTTTGTTTCTTCAAGCAGAAATCATCCAGTTTCTTTTACATCCACCTTTACCGAGTATGGTAGGTGAGATGAGAAGCTCTCTTATCTCATTGAAAGTTGCCTTCAGTGTTCCAAATCCGGGCTATAGTTTTTGCTTCATATGAATAGCTCGTGGGCTTTTCACAACATAGCGACAGGTTTTGGCATACGTTTGTTCTTCATGGGAGGTTTTGGATACAGGGGGCATGCGACTCATGGGGCGCGTCAAAGGCGAGGAGGGTACAAAAGGGCCAAAAGTCAGAATAGATACAAATCTCAATCACGCAATGATGTCATCACGTCTTTCCAGGCGTAGATCAGCCCTATCTTCAAACGACGGGTTAAAAATCAGATTCGTCCGGCGCTTGCGACATCTAAATCCAGTAACCCCAGGGCTGAAGAAGAAGAAGGGTCTCAGAGCACGCCCGTCCCGGAATCCGGGAGGAGTTTCTATTTTTTTTATGTTGACGGATTTGCTGCCAGGATTCTTAAGCGCCACAAGAATTCAAAGGGAGCGGGAACGGGAACGGAAAAGAAAGGGAAGAAAACCAAGACGCTGGCGGGTTCTCTGTCACTGGGACGATAAAATTGGTACACCACGATCTCGCGGGTACCAACTTTGGGAAGGCTTGGGAGCCTCATTAGTAGCCTCTGTTCTGAGCGCTGATTGGCTGTTACTATAAATAGTATATCCCAATTGAGACAGAGTCTACTAGTCCAGGGACAAAAAGGGACAAAACTCGTTGACAGGTGCTTCTGAAACGCGGGAACAATAGCTTCTGCCTACTATAGATTTTGCGTTCATGGAGGGCAGCGACAATGGAGACAGGAGAAGGGGACACGATGCATCGCACTACTGTTTGGTATTGCTCTTTGTTATTGGCATCTTGAAAGCTGAGGGCGCCAAAGATGGAATTCAATTCTTTATAATGGGTCGAGCTTTCTCCACCCATAGAGCAATCAAGCACGCAATCTCGTCAATCAGCATATTAAATACTTTCTTCATAGTACTGGTTACTATTACTTTTTCCTTTACGCACTTTCATTAATAAATTTATATTCCTTACCTTCTCTACCAAATAACAATAAGATGTCAGCCATAACAGATTCAGACGAGTGGACTGTCGGCCACCCTTCGCAAAACAAGTCCTTCGTTGCCACAGTAGTGATCGCTTCCCTCCTCATAACAGCCTTTTTCGTGGGTTGTGGCTTCATGCTCTACTACTGGATCAGGTCATGGCGCGGCAAGGACAACTACAAACCCAGCGTCTCCTCCTCCTCCACAAACGAAAAAGTCGAAGATCTAGAAGCCCAGCGACAGCGGCCGGGAACCCCTCCACCCGAGAGAACTTATGAGAGTGATGATGAATCACCCATTGTTGAAGGTAAGCCAAGAGCTGTTAGAAAGCTGAAACACAAGGAGTATGGTGGGCTAACATGTCCCGTCGCAGTTTCAAAATGGAGGCAAGAGACAGTTTCGGTGGATAATGCGTCGTCGCAGGCATCGTCGACCAGAAGTTCATCGGAGTTATCGCTTAATGGGCATGTCCCAGAAAGACCGAGGTCAAGGGACTTTCACGAACTGTATCCGAGCAATTGATTTGCGTTATCGGAATTTTTAATGTCAACGATAATGAAAACGATACTGCATTCTGGAAATCGCAACAACCAAATACAACCACAACCACTACAACCAAAAACTGGCTATCGGGAAAAAGCTTCTCAAGGTACGATAGCAAGCAAACGGTCCTTCCAATATCTTACAATGACTAATACATGTACCCATACAGTATTATGCAGCCAGACTTAAAACCCTACCATCCCTCTGTCGTCTTCTGCTCCGCGACCTTCTCCTTCTCGCTCCCTCTCTCCTGCATACCACCACACCCCGTCAATCCCCCCACAGTATTCTGCAACTTCCCCTCCGTACTCAGTGACGAGGCCTTTCTCGCACTGTAATCCATCTCCTCGTCGCCCTGCTGCTTTGCGGCCCTCATCTGGCCGATCGCTGCCTCCTTATCCTGGCGACCAGAGTCCTTCCAGGACGCGGAGTCAAGTGTATTGCCGATCATTTCCTGGTTGAAAGATTATCAGTTAATAACAAAACCAATAGAAAAGAAAGAAAAGAAAAAGAATTACTGAGGCGGCTCCCTTGACATACTGGAGATGTCCACTGAGTTGTGAAGGGTTCTCTCCTCGGTTGTGGTTGGTTCCGCTCATAGTGTATAATACGATTTTGTTTGACGATATGTGTTGTGTAAAAAAAAAAATGGGTTTTGGGTTACAGGTCTTTGCTTATGATGTTTCTTTTGTTTTCTTTGGAGTTTGTTCTTTCGGCATTTGCATTGGGTTTTTGGGGAGTTTTTATATTGATTGCATTGGGCGGAACGGTACGGTTTATAGTGCGGTGAGGTCATTGGTGTGTCTATGACGTCAGTGGGCAGGAATCTGGGGAATGATGATTGATCTCAAGGTAGATTTCTGTAAATGGTCATCGAAACGGGGATCGAGAACGTCACTTTATTTATTTCACTTGAGATGTCGTGCCGTGACTCGTGAGACGCGACGCTGGTTGCTGTTCACAGTTTATCAGTCATGTATGGTTTTCACAACCTCCAACGTTGCAATACCTCCAACCTCTAACCCGGCGCAGACACAACAGCTTCATCAATCCATGATCATATTCATTTTCATAACTACAATGCCATTTACATCTTCTTTTTCCAAAAACTATACAAAGATCTTCTTCTTGAACCCTTAGTTCAACTCCAAAACCGTCACCGACAAGCTCGGGACGTTCCATTTGACAGTCGATCCATTCCCGCCCGCCTTGATGGCCGTACCGTTCTTTCCATTATCCAAGGTAAACTTGACCGGTGAAATTGCCGTCGCATTACCGATAAAGTTGAAGCCATACTCATCATCGTGCCTTAAAATCGTGCCATTGACACTCTTTACCTTGAAGTCTACATCAAAGCTCACGGGCACCTCATACTCAGCAGCGTTAACAAGCTTGACAAATACCCTATTATTCTCTGTGGATGCATGCCACCACAATGGGTTGAAGTCACCCTTGGTGTTGGTGATGGGAAGCGTCTCCTCGCCCTTGAAGTGAGAGAACATTTGTTGCTGGTAGTAAGATGTGGAGAGGACTGTCTGGTTCGGGTCCGCTGAGAAGCCGATGAAGTCAGGGGTCCACTGATAGGAGTTGAAGTTCTGGAATAGCGGTGCGTAGGAGCTGAGAGTTGCAACGTCTGGGTTACGCTCCATGGCAAGAGCAAAAATGGCTTCACCGATGGCGGCTACCATGGTAGGGTAGACAAAACGACCCTCACCATGGGCCCAGTCGACACCGCCGGCACGATCCCGGGAGAGAACGGAGTATTCACCCACGACTAAAAGGGTTAGGAGCTAATTATTATCGGGGACAGAGAAAAGACTAACATATTTGGACACCAGGGTAGCCGGCGACGGTTTGCCAGTTATCAAAGAAGTTGAAACGGTCCTTGAAGAATTGAGGGGTCTCGTAGTGGTGAAGATCCCACATTCCGCCAGGGGCAACTGGAGAAAGTTAAGATTGGATGCTAAGTAGGCTAAGATTTGAGAGGACTTACTGCTGGTGTTGACGCCCGACGGAGATGCTTCAGTTGCCTGAGATGCAATATAACTAAAATCCCATCAATGATCATTACTTTTTTGGGGGTGATTGTTTTTAGACACTTACGTGATGTTAGGATAGGCCCGCTGTAGAGCCTCCAAGAACCTCGGATAACGCCAGTAGTAAGAGTCACTGAACCAGTCCTCGTTTCCAATCTCCACGAATCTATTGCAATCCAGTCAGCACTCCCGAATCAAGATACCACGCTCTCTAGAAAACTTACTTGATCACGAACGGCTCTGGGTGCCCATGCTTGGCTCTCAGCGCTCCCCAAGTCGTATCAACACTTCCAGTTGCGTACTCAATCTGATCGACCGCTTCCTGAATATAGAAATCCAGCTCATCCTCCGGGACAGTATTTGCCGGGTGCACGTCTGCCTCATCAAGCGAATATCCCGCATATACAGTCAATAACGGCTCAATCTCTAGATCCTCACACCATTCGAGAAACTCGAGATATCCCATGCCGTCGGTGTTATAGTACCTCCAGTCAGCAGGTCTTCCGGGACGATCAATAATGGGGCCGATGTTCTTCTTCCATTGCCATCTGGTGGCAATGCTGAGACCTTCCAAGTTGTTTCCTCCAGGAAATCGAAGGAACTTGGGAGCAAGGTTGTGGAGGTGCTCAGCGAGATCCTTTCGGAGACCGTTGGGGCGGTCCTTGTAGGTGGGTGGAAATAGGGAAATAAGATCGAAGTAGAATGCCTGGCCGGCTGCCTCGGCAGCGTCAAAGGTGATCGCAAAAGTGTTGTTACTGTTGGGAGCCCAGACTTCAGGCCTGAGGATAGTCTCGAACTTCGTATAGTTGTGGGTGCTAAGGTCTCCTTCGAAAGTGATAGCGTTCTCAACCCAGACATCGTCTGTAAGATCAGAGCGCAATGAGACCTTAATCCCAGTAACGTTCTTTGCATAAAGCGCGCCATTGGGTTTGATGTAAAACGATGCATTATAAGCTTGCCTATTTTAAGAATTAGTTTAATTCACTCCAAGGTTGAGTATCTTCCCAAGGCTTACGGTCTCACATCCATTCCCCACCATCCCTCATTGTAGAACCCGACTTCGCCAGTCGCGTTTTGTGGGATATCAACACGCATGACGGTCGTGAGGGCATCAGACAATGGGTTTAGGACGTCAAGAGAAAGCATTGCGCCTCCAATTGACTTCCAGGCAGTGAGAGTCGGTGCCCATGCACACACAGGGTTCTCTGACTCGACGATTCTAGCACCGCGCATATTGGGGATGCTGCCAAAGGTGACATCGGAGCCTGTGGTCGTAAGTATTCGTGAAATTTAGTGTGGGTAGGGTCAAGAGAGTTTACCTTGGAAGGCTCGGTTTCTAATCAATTCGGCATAGAGTCCACCATCTCCAGAGTGCTAAATTTCTTTGTTAGTCTAACTCGTAAGAAAACAGAAGTTAGGAGGAGCTCACATTGATATCCTCAAAGAACAGCCCGTGTAAGTACGGCGCAGTCTTGTTCCTGGAACCGGACTTAGTGGTAATCTTCAAGTCAACCGCATAGCTTGTTCTGTTAGTGGCAGCAGCAGCAGTCGTCAACGAGAAGCTCAAAAGAGCACCAATTCCTAGAAGGCCCTTCATCTCGACCACACTGTAAAGTCGAATTTGCAGCGAAAGCTGTTGGCTGTTTAACTTTCTTCCGAGGAGAAAGTAGTCACCTTATATAGAAGAAAGCCCAGGGAAACCAATATCAAGTAACTCTATATATTCACTTTATGTACTTTATGTACAAATCAGCCGCCATGCTGTTAAATTCCATCCTTCCTTGGATGACGACGATGTCTGTTGATCTTGATTGATCATGGCCTCACACGCGCCATTATGTCCCTGCTGCCGAGTTTAACCGTTATTCGATTTTCCCTCGGTATAGGTACCGGTCTGTAGAGCGCGCTTCGGAGAATCTCTCGGAGTATCGTTGAAGCGAGTATTGTATTGGGTGAGATTGACTTCCTGGTTTGGTTTTGCGAAGAGAAAAAACACTGCATCCACTACATGCATGCTGTTGAAGCTAACAGGGACGATAATTGTAAATGGCGGCAAACGTTGTGGACCTGGTTTCAATCCCAACCGCATATCTAAGAGAAAAATCTGGTTAAAAAGCCAAAAGGGACACTGATCCGATATAGGGCGGGGATCATGGGGGAATGCCGGTAATAATGCGGGGGGAAGAGATCTGGGGAAAAGGCGTCAGATAAGGAGATGATCCGCTGAAATATTCAATTTACCGAGAAACTCCAGGGCAGCTTCCAAGATGAATTTAGGATAAAGTTCTTCCCACAGGCTTCTGTTCGGTATTCGTCAAGCGATACCTCATGGAGGGTTCGGTGATACCGATGTATTTTATTCCACTGAAGATAAGAATAATGAACATGTTTTAACACTAGCTAGAGATACCTGGCAGGTGTAATCTGAGAGGCCTTTCAATGGTTTCTATTTTAGCTGTAATTAATTATAGTTATCGAGCTGTATGTGATCCTCCCCCTCCCCATGAGTCAGTGAACTATTAGATTTCATGTACTCAAGATATCAACTACTTCATGAATTCACCTACCGGAAAACGGAGCACCCTGTCTTTATCTCATCAATCTCTTAAGCTAGTATTCCGGGTAAATATTGTATTTCTTCCATCATTTACTTTATTTTTTGCGGGGTTCTGTCGCGCAGCAATATCCACTTCTACTTTTAGAGAAATAGATGAGCATGTTGTTGATGTTGGAGAGAAACCTGGTGTGAGAACAGTTAGATTTAGCCGAGACGTGCTAATCCTTGTCCCTGTCAACGGTAAGGGCTAGGGGTGGACATGAAGGAGGGTGGTTCTTTGTGGGGTCACTTATGGCAAGCATTCTTACGCCTTACTGAACTTGTGGGGGTGACAAGGATCATGCGTGTGGTACTTCATGATTCGGGACACTGAGAACCCTCTGCGATCCCGTTCCTAGGCTCCTGGCCCTGACGTTCTTCCCGTACTCTTTCAGTGCGAACGTATCCATCCACTCTGGACCCCGGCACCGCGCTGCCAACGGACATACAGGAACTGGTTATAGCCCCCGCCCCCCCCAAAAAAAAAAAAGAAAGAAAGAAAGAAAGAAAGAAAGAGAAAGAAACGAAAGAAAGAAAGAAAGAAAAGAAAAAAAAAGAAATAAATCAACAAAATTCTACCTAGTTTTAATACGGGCTGTGTTGCTAGAACCCAGGAAGAATCCGACAGTAGACCTGTATACATGTATGTATGAACTTTCCTTCTTCTTAACGTCTTTTTACATAGAAATGTGGTTTTGTTCTCGTTTACAATGTAGAGAAAGATGGGGGTCCGGTGTTAAATGCGGAATATCGTAGACGCAGTAGTCACGTACCTAGAACTATACTACTCTCCTCCTCATTTATGAAATTACAGCCTTCAAGCCGCCCCCTACCTTATATCTATAGAAGCCACCTCTTTATAATGCAAGGCTGTTGGTGTTCGAGCGATAGAAGCATTGTCTGACTCTACTCACTTGACTTCATGACCAAGGCGTCGGGGCGAGGGTCGGCGAAGACATAGCCTGGCTTTATTAGAAAAGAGGAAGAGTCTATAGAGAACAGCACAAGTACATGTAGCCACCTACTCCTTGTATTAGCACCCAGGTACTAGAGCAATAGATTTAACCATGTACACATATATGCGCACTACATGCATGTGAGTTTGATGGAATGGAATAAAGGTAAGATATCACAGTGAATACCGGGCCAAGACTACATGTACTTTGAGCGGTGTTCTGCATATAAATTTCTCGAAGTGTGGCTATACCACCTGGTCTGTCTTTTTTTGTACAGGGCTATTTGATTCACACCACAGGCCACAGTGCGTGTCCATGTCCTGAGAAAAGAATTAATGATACACAAAAGTGGGGTAAAATGATCATCAAGGCTTTCGACTACGAAGAGATTTATTCAAGAGAGTACCTTCATAAAGGAGCTGCCTCGAAAATCCTAAACCGGTTTTCTGATATGTACCTGACACTCGGATATATGATCGATCGACAAACAGCATCTGTGAGTTATAGGAACTGGTAACCCGGGCCCTAGTACGTACCCAATCAGTACAGGAATCCGGAATTCCCCCATGCGTTTACATGAATTTTTAAATTGATTGGTTCCAGAAGAATTCGGGCCGGTTAAAGTCTGCACTTATGACAGGCACGTCCCGCCTATATCTTCTTCGTTTGTTCTAAGCTCCTTCCTCCGCTGCGTGGAGGTAAAAGAATATTTAAATACATAGATAGATTTGGGATAGGATCGATGATCATCGCTCAATCTTTGGTAGCGAAGAAGAATAACCGGTTGACTTCTACTTGATTGTCTACGTAACGCGAGGGCTAGTCACGTTCCTAGGCTCATATCCCTTCAGCTTTTCACTGCTCTACACGATATACTAACAGCAAATTTTCGCCAAGTATTTTCAAGATATGAAATGCGTGTATCGAGCGGTTTGCCTCTAATGAGTGAATGCACGAAAATGAAGTCATGAATTATCACTCGACAAAACACGTTACGATATGTGCTACTTCGTATTCAAATACGACAGGAACTGGGATTTCAAAAATCGATCCAAACTACATGACACAAATCTTCAATTTCTCCCGTCTCCTTTTTGAAAGGGAAATCTAATATAAAACAAACTATGTATACCTTGAGATTTTCTCACATCGCAGAGAAGTCGCCTTATCTAGACTTACCAGCCCCCCAGCGAGATCTAATTAGTTTTCTATCTACGTATGTGAAGGTGCTACTGTTTCTTGCTATTTATTCATGATCAGCATTGAGTGGAAACTTTCCGAGATGTGGACAAATCTAGATAAATTGGGTATAACGGTGTGGGAAGGACTCAGAGAATATCACTCGCCCAATTTTGTGTACTTCGGGTTGATCAATAATAATAATAATCTCTCACACTCGCACACAACCGTGAGGTTATGACGACGTTCAAGGGATCACCGCTGTCCTCATAATTTGGGCAAGCGACTGGGGAAAACTTCCAAAATTTAAACCTAGCCCGACCGGCAAGATGGGTATACCGGGGGTGGGGGACACGGGAATTTGGGGGTTGATTGATTGGTTGATTGATTGATTAATGTGTACCTGAGGTACATATTAATTGAATACTAAAATATATTTTGATTTGTTAGGTGACATCGTCAATGCGCGTCGTTGCGGTTGCATAGAATGGGCCGCACTCCATTGTGCGCAAACTTCCCATTTTCTAGGCTCAGCATAAGGAGCTAATGACACCTCCCAATTTCACCCTACACCAACAACACCTTCAACACCTTCAAAACCATCAAAACCATCAAAACCATCAACCCATCAACACCAACAACACCACGCCATAAAACAACATCGACAACATCGGCAACATCGAGAACATCGACAAAAAAATCCTCCCTCATATGACACGAGTCATCGGATATCATTCAACTCAATTCAAAAGTACGTACGAGAAACATCTAAATCTTTCCATCTCGATCTTTACCTTCCCTCTAACCGGGCTCCCATTTTGACTGTAATCTCTAGGTGTTTTTTTTCCGCTGGGCCCGTGTTACCGGCTTTTCTTATAACCATCGAGCTCGTGTCTCGATGCCGAGCTCGTGTCTCGGATCGAGCTCGTGTCTCGGATCGAGCTCGTGTCTCGACGTTGAGCTCGTGTCTCAACTCCGAGCTCGTGTCTCGGATCGAGCTCGTGTCTCGAAGTCGAGCCTGTATCTCGACGTTGAGCTCGTGTCTCAACGCCGAGCTCGTATCTCGGAATTGCTACTCGCTGTAGCCCACCCTCATCGTCAGGGACGCTTGTATGTGTAACAAAATTCCTACCTCATTCCATTCTTCTCTTGATCTTTCTTCTACTGGGCCCTCGTTCTGACTGTAACTCTAGTTTTTTCGCCTCTCCTTTATAAGGAATGAGGCTTGGGTGGCTCCCACACAGCTCCGGTGCACGCTCCGGTGTAGGCAGGGTGTCCGGCATAAAGGGGACCCACCTTAAAAGTCTGCCAATCGCAAGGGTGTGGTCCCCGCAGGGGTCGGTTCCCGAGTGCGTGGGCCAAATATTCCGACACAGGCAAGCCCTGTCCTACACCCGCACCGGTAATCGGGGTGGAGCTGGTATATTCTCCGTAGGGAGGTAACTTTTAGTTTTTCTTTTGTTTGCCCTTCTTTTCCCCTCTTTAGTCCGCTAATGTTAGGGTACTCGATCCCGGCAATTTGCTCTTGCGGGCTTGTTGATGGGATATGCCATACGGGGCATATCTCTGGGATCGTGTACCCTACCTCTTCTCTCTTTTTTTTGGTTGCTCCTCTGGCTGCTAGCGAGGGGGTTACTAAAACTTTAAGAAAAGATTTGGCTTTGTTGATCGTCGTCACAGTTTATCACTCGCCATATTTGCCAAGTGCCAAGTGTTTAGCATCAACATCTAATGCTGATAGACCACATCAGGTCCCTCTCGAACGGTAAGCCTTTCTCCAAATTATCGTACCAAAGAGATAAATTGACTTGCCTACACTGAGGCTTCTGTTTAGACAGATCTATTAATAAAAAATATCAAATAGGATTATTCTTTCTCCCAGGAGGCAGATCGCGCAGGACATATCAGGACAGCTAGCAGCTTGTTAACTAGAAAACTGCAACGTCCAAATTGCTCTCAATTAAAATCACTGTTACCAAATTAAGAGTACGGAATTCAATGAAGCCCGGGAACTGATCTCAAGTTCGCTCATATCATTCCTCCCATACATATTCTTATTCTTATCAACTAACAATCTCGTCACAACTTCCCGATTTTCTTCCCCCAGTACATACAATTTTAACCGGCCTGATAAATTGCCGGCCCAGCAACAATATGAGAATTCACTAAGCTGTAGTTATGCGGAGTGACATAAAGATCCTCATCTACCAACGCAACAAAGATCGTCCCATTCAGTGTCGGGTTCAGATTACTGAATAGAGTTCCATCCGGCTGGGCTGCCTTGACAGTTCCATCCCCTGCATACCCAGAATCATACAACGGAGTGTATGTTGTGTTAAGCTGACTAGTCCACATGGCGAACTTAGCAGGCCCTGTAGCGGTTGTATTGGTGATATAACTATTGTTATAGCCTGTGACTTGCCCCGGTGATTCATAGCGGAAAGTCACTTCTCTGCCGGGATATGATAGGCTGGTACGGTTATGAGTAATTGCAGCGCCATAGGCGAGATCGGTTCCATTGGGATTGTTGGTGACGTGAAGAGTAGGGAAATTTTGCCAGACGAGGTGAGGGTTCTCGGCGGGGCAAGATTTAATATGGGGAGATAGTAAGGTCCAGGACATGGACTGGGTAATGCCTACTTCGAACCACACAGGCATGGGGAAGAGGCCTTGGAACTATTTAAGGGGTTAGTGCAACGGAAGATAATCTTGAACACGGTACGGGAATATACCTGACGGAAAATCATCTGCTGTCTTGCCTCGGTGGTGATGGACTGCAATAACATTTGTGCGGCCGCCCTGGAATCCAAATGCTCGATAAATCCGTACACACCGCTCTCTCCCCATCTGGTTAGTTTTTGGCAGAAATCAATAAACTCCCTAACGGTGGTGAACGGATATTGGTATGTGCACATTTTCGCCGCATGAGGGCCGAGGATATTCGAGAGTAAGGTGGCATGTCCAATCTCTTGTTCAGCCATAAATTCTATAAGAAATCTATCGTCCGCATTTAATCCAGCTTCTTCAAAGTCGGCTACTGAGAAGCGGCGTAGTCCTTCCTGGAATAGATCCAGTTCGATCCACTCCTGGTTGAGGGCCAAGTTGATGGATTGCCAATCAAAATCTGACAATGCCTGGTACACAGGAGGAGTGCCATTTGTATTAATTCCACCAGCAGGAACATATGGTGCAGTCTCAGGTTGGGTAAGGTTTCCGGTGTTGGGATAAGGGTTGTGTGGCTCTGGAGGGTTTCCAGGTGGGATAACTCCTGGTGTGCCAGTAGCACTTCGAGGGTCGACCGAGGATACTGGCGAGGCACCGGATGCTCCAGCAACCATTGGGGTCGCAATGTTTCCCCCAGTAGCCATTGGAGAACCACTTACTTGCGTATATTGGGGAAGTGGTGGGATTTGTGAGTTTAGAGGCCCGGCGCCTACTGTGCTCAAGGGGCCTGGAGTTCCTCCCATGGTTTCTTGGATTACCTCTGTTGCTTGGGTTCCCAGAACTATCCCTCCTTGAGTTCCTTGGGTTCCTGTGCCCTGGGGAATGGCGGTAACGAGACTGCCTACGAGGCCGTAGCCCGCAATACAAAATGTACGGATACGCATCGAAGAGTATGGTTGAGGGGAGATGTATGAGAGAGGTTATGGATTGGTTTTCAAAAAAGCGAAGCCACTCTCACATTTATATCCAGGATACATGTATCTTATGGTAAAGATTATTAATAAATTCGGGAATGCTTTCCATGGGCTGATGACGCCTACAAATAACCAAACGGGAAGTTCATACTTTCAGTCAAGCAGGCTTCTGAGATGCTGACCTCGGATGCTACGGTACAAGCATACAGGCGATTGGCTGGACATATGACCGAGTAACGGTGCCCATAATTCCCGTGTTTTCAGGACTTGTGGCGATTTGTGGCTCGCCATATAAATTATTGAGATTAACTGGAACCGTCAATGGGTGGTGCAAAATTGACCCGCTTGACACGCGATTTTATCCAATAACTAGTGGTGTATACTCTTATCGATTTTAGTGTGTGATACTTGTAGATGTGGATCGATATTGATGATATTGCTAGAATGCCTCTCGATAGCCTAAGCTCAGGCACACGCCACCATCTTCCAAATTAAATTCGCGAAGACATGCGTCATAGATATATACGCCTTACGGCCCCCAAAAAAAAGGAAACAGAGAAGGACCGTAAAAGATGCTACTGTATCTCCTTTAAACGAATTGAACTCTGTGGGGCCGTGTAAAGATTAAGTACCCATGGAATTATTGAAGTGAGGTACAATCATTTTAATGACGTCGAAGCTCGGGTATACGCCGAGCTATTATGACGCACGCGGTGCATGCAGGAAGAGCCGCATTAAGAGCCGCAAATCCTGAAGATGTCCCTGCCAAGTTTTCGAATTTTGACTTTGAAAAGTGCCGTTGTAAAAATGCTCTAATATATCGGCGCTAGTAATAACCGATCAAACACCACGTTAAAGGCATTGGTCATCACTGCTTGGCGTGTCAACCTTTCCTCGATGGGCTGATTGTGCTGAGCAGATTTCGATGACAAAACAAATTGTTACCCGTAGAAAGTGGTAAAATATATAGCCCCACGCGGGGGTCGAACCCGCAACCTTGAGATTAAGAGTCTCACGCTCTACCGATTGAGCTAGCGAGGCTTATATCTAAGCAGAAATAAAAAAATTATTATATGTTATCAATACTGAGACTCTTAGGAGTGTGCAATATATTTACAGGGCCGGCCGAGAGCAAATACTAAATCTTCCCAGGCCCCAATTACAGAAGTAATTAGAAGCACCTTGAGGTGATGCTGTACCTGTATTCCGCGCGCTAAGGCACCACATTATAGCGTTTAGTATCCATAGAACCTCGGTAGAACACAAGATAGAGTGTATATGCATTGTATTGATGCAGTAGTTAGTACTTTGTAGTAACTTAATAAAGTTACAGAATTTGAAAGCCAGTTTATAACCCGGAGAGTTTCAATAACCCTATCTCATGATTTTCCGCTGGTTCCCCGACTCGCCAGCTTGCACATCCCAGAAAGCCTGGGAGGAGTAGAGGGCCTTCCCAGATCATTCCATCTCTTTCTAAATTAATCATAGGGTGTCAAATTCTTATTCAGATCACTGTCTGAATATATCTCACCGCCCCGGGCCTCATCAAAACACTCGGAAACGGTTCGATAAAACGCATTTTCTTTCGGAACAGACCGAACATCTTCTGACACCTGATCAGCTGAACTCTCAATCTCGTTTGTTAGTAGACATTGCAATTGTATGTATATACCGAAGTATACAATAAACCAATTTGCAAAAACAGAGCCATATGGTATATTGGAGTCGGTCATTCTTATATCTTCTTTGGTTCCCTAAAGTTTGAGTTTGGCTACTGCATATGTGTATTAGGATTTAAATTGTTTTATCAATTTATAAAGGCGTGAGGTTTGATTGCAAATATTGTCTTACCATACTTGTATGTATGCATGTTATAGCTAGCAGTACATACATTAGTATATACTGTACTAACATACTTGTATTCAACGCTCATATTTCGCTGGATCGACTGACCTTAACAAGACTCTAGTGCATCTTTTGTAAGGGTTAGATCTGGTTTAATTAATATTATGAGGTTGCCTTAAATTCATTTGAACGTTATAGCCCGCAGTTTTGTATTTCTTATAAGGAATAAGTAACGGGTTCTGCATACGAATATTAATAATCAATCAATCAAGCAACGGATTCTAGAGTCAATAAATTATTCCGCGTGAGAACGTGTGATCCAAGAATTCAAGGTTCGCCTAGCTAGCTATAGTACTAGGGGGGCTCCATTAACACACCTAAATCAAGTCCTCAACATCTGAGGTTCGTAGACGACACGCATGCCTTTTCATCAATAATCCAAGCCTCTAGCTTCTAGCTACCTTGCGCATCTCCGCCGGCCCCATCTAATACCACCTACGCTGGGATAGCTAGCAAGTTTACTGGTGCAGCGCGGCCTTCGCTCAGAACTTACGCCTGAATCAGCAGCTATGAGTCGAAGATACATGACCGTCATGATTACTCCAAGTCCCTTCTACAACTACTCTTCCACTATAATCAATCCTCCTCCCCCTCCAGATGACACATCCGATCCTGCTACAGTGATAGAGGATTTGGGGAAGACTATTATCTTACCTCCTTCCGCTTGTGTCAATATCTTGGATGAGCACACAGAGATTCCTCCTCTCGACATAGACGTCGATAGAACACTTGATTACACACCGAGCAAGTCTTTTATAAATACCACTTTACATCAAATAGAAACTTACTAACACAAATCCATCTGTAGAATTGTCCAAACTTATTACACTCAAGCTTCCAAAGAATCGAGAGGCCCTGAAGAATTTAAATCAAACTCAGAAGGGCCTTCGAGATATTCCGTCTGACATAGTGGAAGTACCATCATGTTTTAGAAAAGGTAAATTCAAAAGGAAATCGTCTATACATTGAAATGAAAAAGAGGATTAATATTCCAGCCATGTCTAGCTTCCACATCTGGTGACGTTGTGCTTACATCCAAGGACTCCTATATTGCGTGGTTTCTCGAGGACCCTGATCCTAATCCGCCTGCACGTCAGCAAAGTAAGTCACAAATGTGTAATTATTAAGCCCGTCTCCTAAAGACCGTAAAATCTAATTAGGATAAAAGGACCATTACCATCACAATTGACGGCATTCGAGTTTTCCGGTATTTACACTATTGGCGAATGTATGAAGGGTTGCTCCGGACCACCGCCTGGGACTGGATGTCCAATTTGCGAACCGGTTGATTTCAAGAACATCGCGCAAGTGCACGGTATAACTATTAAATAAGACCGAAAACACCTTATTGGAGAGACAACAAAGCCTTTGCATACAATTCAATGAATGATGATACATATCTTTTCGAATACTCGGGATCGTTCTGGGTCTAGAAAGGGATATGGGAATCTATAGCTATACAATCGTTGTTTTCACTTCGTTATTTCGGTACTAGCTATAGGGCCAGCAATATTGGGTCTTTAGCATCTTAATCTATCCCCTATGGTTTCTATTCGAACGGCCGCTGTCCGTAAACAACGTACCTAGCATACATAGATGGAGTCAGTAATAATTCGAACACTCATCGTTTGGGTACAACATTTTGAAGTAAAAATTGCTATCCTTAGACCGTAACTCGGAGCGAACACCAGCAAGAAGAACATAGACCTCGTCTGCGGTCCACTATCACAAATATACATTAGCCAATTCAACCTTTTACGAACCAATATAGGCCTATCAGCATTATACTCACGTCAAGGAAACGCGTGAAAAGCGCCAAAGTAAATCCCTCTTTCCTCATCAGATAAAATTAGCTAATATCACTGATGATCTTTAGGGATTCTTTTTTTTTAAGAAAAAAAAGAAAAAGAAAAAAAAGGGGGGGGGGGGGGGGGGCTTCATACCTAGAGCTTCTAGGAGATTGAGTAAATTATATCTCCCGATGTTCTTCATTTTGTGATCCTTTGGCCATGAACCGATGGGGACCTTAAAAATATTTTCCTCCACATTGATAAAAAGGGCGTCTTCCATCCATCCCTTTAACTTATCTGTAATATCAAATGGTCTTCCTGCTCTTTCTGAAGCTTCAATTCCTAGCCTACACCACTGTGATATAGAAGTGCTGGAACCAATAGCAGTAGGTTGGCCCTCGTCGTCATCAATATAAAACCCAATTGTAGTCTCGACGGATTCGAACCATCCACCAGGTTTAAGAGCAGCATATGCTTCTTTATACAAACAGGTCCAACTGAAAACTGATCCGTGTAGAGCTCGCCCGTGAATGAAATCGAATGAATTCAAGACATGTTCCCATGGCTTTGTGAAATCATCGATTTCAAAGGAACAATTTGAAGGCACCCTTTCAACATAGTAAGTACAAATACATTTCTTAAATTTGGTCGCTGGTGGTTTTTTTTCTTTTTTTTCCTTTTCTTTTTTGAGGTTTATTTACCATGTAGGCTGTATCGGTGAAAGGTCATTTCCAATGACTCTCGTATTCGGAAACTTGTCCGCAATGTCGATCGCCCAGATCCCAGTACCAGTTCCAAGGTCAAGGACTCGTTCTGGATTCTCGCCGATAGGTGCCAAATATAGAGCTCCATCAAGGACGAGAGTGTAAACATGATGACTAAATATATGTATATGTTCGAATGAGTTTGTCAAAGTACCATGGTTGGGGGGAGAGATGAGATCAATCACAATATATCGAGCTGCTCATTCTGCTTGTCATCGTTAGGAGCCCAGTACAGTCCCTCGCTATAGGCATGGTATCTAAAACACCTCGCGTATGGTTAACTCCTATTTTTATAAACTTTTTCTGTGCATGTGGTTTATATAGATACCTTCGGCCGTTCTCATATCTGTATTGCTTTACCTCAGGATCAAGAGAGCTTGTTTCACTCTGGTTCCTTGGAAGAAACATTTATTTAGCGCGCTTCGTTCTGTCCTTTCTAAAAGCTAGTGCACCCGTTTTAAAAAGAGAAAACTTACTTGTCAGTCATATATTCCCCATTATTCTCGAGATCATCAGCTCCGACCACTTGATCAATCACGGTTGCGTCTTCAATTTCCTTTAGGAGTTCTGTTTTCCTTCGCGTTTTCCCTAACATTTGTCCTGTCTATTTATCTTCAAAGGTTCCTATGTCAACCTGTAGTAAATATCTGTAGCTACAGTTGCAACAACGGCGTCGGGCTGTTTATTCCTCTGGGCGACAGGCTGGTTCTATATACGAACGGGATCCGGAATGCCGCAGCTAGGTATGGGTGAAAGCGTTTCCGGGATATCACAGCCAGAAATTTGCCAAATTTCGATCAAGTGTCACTTGGGATATCGACGAAGTTAAGGCGATGAAGAGCGCGTTATATATATCGTAGACCCTAGTCCCCTGCGATATCATCTTGAAGGACCTTGGACTGGGATCTTGAGATATGAGGCTAAGTGCAATTTTAGGGCCATACCAAAAGACGTGAAAGTACATGTAGTAGGTATATGTATATCAAATCCCACGGCCCGAAAGAATTTACAGTCAAGGTAAGTAATGAACCTGAAGATGCCGTTTTTTTGTTTTTGTTTTTTAAAGGCGCAGACTTAATAATGTGGCTTTGCCCCTGATTTTTATATTTACGCCATTACACACCCAGGAGAGCTAGAGGGAAAGGTTAGTATACTGTATTTCCTATCAGCCGGAGTATTTCTAGTCACATATGTACAATTGATGTTGCACCGATCACTCTGTACGTGGCCCCGCAATATAAATATATATGTATTTATAGAGTGCACCCTCCCGGTCCCCATGAAGAATGAAACTTAGTGTACAAATCTGCAGCTGACAATCGACGCTATCAGATACGGAAATTAACAGGGACCTGCAAATGCTAGTATGTAACGTAACAGTAATGTTTGCGTGATCGTCAACAGGGACGCAGCTTCACCGCGATATCGACGAACAGCTTAGTGTAGGACAGTAATCCGCTTATAGGCTTGGTAGCACTTAATACTACTAAGCGGGTAAGAGTAATATTATTAGTTACTGTTCTTCAAACACTAGTCAGTACAGAAATGGATCGATCCGGCAAAGTCGATCTTGCATACGGAAATTCCGTCCGGACTCCTACTTTGAATCCCACAGTATAAAGGATACCATAAGTAAATCTCATACTGCCACAGGTAGGTGCCTCGGAAGTCTTGGCAGCGGCTAATTCTGCCTAGTAGTTGAAATAACGTTTTATAATAACTTTGAGAATTCTCGCTGTAAGCCTCGCTAGCTCAATCGGTAGAGCGTGAGACTCTTAATCTCAAGGTTGCGGGTTCGACCCCCGCGTGGGGCTTTTTACCTCTCCTTTTATTGGTACCCAAAACCCTACTGATATCTACTGAACTTGAAGATGTGAATTCTGACATCCTATTCTTCCAGTACTTCATGGGCGGGTGTGTACGTACAAATTACGGGCAATCGGAAAATGGCAAGATCCCCCTATATTACATCCATACTTTTTATATAATACACCTGACCTGCATGCAGAAACTATGAGACCTAAGAAGTTGTTACGATATGACGTTCATTTGCATGCAACGCAAATTTTAACAGAATTTACCCTCTCTAGTCAGTAGGCGAAATTAAATCCCTTAAACGCAAGGATACAAATCATTCAAACGACGAAACTCGTACTCGTTAGGCTTGATCAAAGGCTCCATGAATTTCATATTTGCAATAAGTTACGTTGCTTATGTTTAATTGTTTCTAGTTGTTTCAAGCTTTCGTCATGGATTATCACCCAGGCCAGATGGTATTCAAATACCTACTTTGTACACCTATATATATCTTTCCGTCAATACATATACCGCTCACTGATTTACACTCAGACCAGTTCTGACAAGGGTAATTAAGACACGGAGGTGTCTTTGTTTCTTGAGGCGTTTCGTGAGGCTAGTCGTGGTGATGATTTGTGTGCAATAAAGGTAGTCGCTCTTTAATTCGTATGTAGTTGACACGTATATCCCGAGATCTAGAGCTGAATCAAAAAACGTCACACCTAAAACAAAGTTTTCTCATGATAAACTGAGTACATCTGGCAATTTTGAAAGGGGTAGTATAGTCATACATGTATCTATTGCGGGAGTTAATTTGGAGTACCGGATAGGAGGCGTGTTCTTAATTACTTTACTACTATACTACGCCACTCGTACGCGTGCGGGTCCTTAACAAAGGTAGCTCGACTATCTTCTTCATCTCCGGATACCGGGACCCGAGACATTTTTCGATCTACTGCTGTCATCTAGGGCTCCGTGAATACACCATCCAGGCTCAAATTATAGTATTTAAGATCCTAGATCCCTGGGTATCGAGATATTGGCATGCGTACGCGCAGTTTTGACTATTAGAGAGTAAACATGTAGGCCGGTACACACATATATATCTACATTTGGTGGGCAGCTAAGAAGCATCCAATCCCAATTCTATGGAGATCCCTTATTCCAAACCTTGTAAAACTAACGTAGAGTAGTCGTCTCCTTTCTTTGCAAGTCGGGCCAGGTAATGAGAGGCTACTATAGGGTTTGATCTTTCGCGCCTCGACAAAATGTCTAATCACCAATCGGCAAGTTAAAGACAGCCTGCGCATGTGTCAACATCTCCCGATTATTGTCCTCAACATTCCAATTGTTTTTCAATAGCAATATTAGAGCTACACATATGGCACTTACAGGTAATTGCACATGCCCAGGTAATACTACATTTATATCCAAGCAGATACCGGCAACTTTCCTGATTTATTGCCTAATTGTTTTGCGCTGAAGGTACGGGTACCTGATGCTGATATATGGGTATTCTGCGAATCAAATGTAAGCAACGCTGTCTGAGTTGTCCAATTCTCTTCAATCTATCAAAACATCCCAATTTGTCTCTCCCGACACGGTATGCACAAGTTGGAGTACGAATACTCACAGACGAAACAAAAGAGTTCAATCCCTAAGGAACAGCTGTACAGATAGGTTGCGACACCTACGCAAGTTTTACAAAGGAATCTCCTAGGCTTACATTGGATAGTAAATCCTGGTACAGCTGTGTCAGTACAGCTGATCTACATGTAGTTTTACTTTGCTCACTCTATGAATGTAGATACATGTAGGTACATGTACTGTTTGTAGAGTCTTCGAGGTGATAGAGCACGATCCGTAACCTATGTCGTGAGTGTCTCGGTTGTCGCTACAGGGCCTGGGACGTGTTCTGAAATAAACTCCAATGATGCCAAAGTCTGTGAGCACCGCAGAAGATAACTTGCTGGGTTCTCCAGTATCTTCCCGGGTAGCCAGCGCAGACGTAAGAACATTTCGCGAGGAATCTGTCTCAAACCAGCATGGAATAAAATGACCACCTAAACGCCCTTTGGTAGGAGATCAGCGGCACGCACACCGCGCGCTCAATGGCTATCCGATCGGATGTGTATTGAGTGGAGGATCATGCATGCAGAGGGGTGAGAATATATCTTGGCGGCCCAGAATATATCTCACGGGCTCGTCCGCGCATGGGGAAATTGCAGATTGATAAACTGTTTTCTTGACGTCGGTTAAACACCAAACCTTTTTTTCTGATCAACCAACCATACTATGGCAACCGTAACCTTGACCAAAACCCATGTGAACCGGCCAGAAGCATCAGCATACTCTTACACAACCAAAACAACAGCGGAAACCATGAATTCATCGATGATATCAAGAGAGCCCTTGGAGAGTTCAATAGCAAGGGCAACAAAAGGTCGCAGGAGCATGGATGAGTATATAAGACCAATCCTCGACCTGCAGAGTCAGTGTAAACAAACATCCAGATTACGCGATCACAAAAAGCTAACTTAGGGCGCCCCTCATTCAGACCCATATGATGAATCGCCACCTAATTACAGGACTGACGAGTACACCATTACAACGGAAGAGGAAATCAAGCGCCCAATGATAATCGATGAGGCAGCATGCCTTATACGGGATACTTATTTGCAACCAAAAAACCATGGCCGTAGATATGGAGAGGTCCAGGTCATGTTTTATAAGTTCAACGTTATACAAGCAGACGATATAGATCTTGAAGACGTTGAGGACATAGAGGATGATGACGACTACTCCTCTGATAATACGGCCAAGAGAGAGGAAATCGAGAGGAACAACAGGAAACAATCAGAAGAGCTAAGAAGGAGGTGCCTGGTTCAGGCTGCTAAAGCGAAGGGGGACGGTTACGAGGTCATCCCGTTGCAGTATCTATACGAGAAAGTTTCGGAAACCTCGCCCCCACAAATGGAATACGAGCTTTTCCCATCTGGCATCCGAGAGTTATCGGAGCTAAAGATCATGTAAGTGTTCTCCTGTCCTGGGTTGGAACCTCACACGAGTCGGAAACTCAAAGTTGAACCGCGAAATTATAGAGAGTTCCCTGCTTGCTTTTATGCTACAGTATGACGCCCCATTCATAGCCATTGCCGCCCAGAAAGAAAAGAAAAGCTAATTCCCGCCTTCAAAGGATTTCTTGGAAGCAATGCAGAGCCACACAAATCGCTATAACTTCACTGAGGTTGACCCACAAACTGTCCTGAGGTCAAGGAATTTGCGTTTCAACAAACAAATTCCTGGTTTTAAGACAGGCATCTCATTGCGCGCAACTAGCGACGAAAGTGATAATGATTATCTTACACTTCTTACTGCTATGCCATATTTCGGAAAACTTCCTGAAATGAAGTTCTTACGCGAAGCCAGTCTTTCTCCGGGCAATGCGCCCTCGTATCTGACAGAGTATCGCCCGGTGAAGGGGCGAGAATCGTGGCGGCGGGAGAGCCTGAGCTTGGCAGAATATAGATTTCTAAGTCCAGGCGCCGAGAAAGAGTCTAAAAGACAGGAGAGAATAAACTATGATCTGAGGGAAGAGCGTTATATCGATCAGGATGTTCTTATTCATCAGGCGTGGTTTATGGTCATTGATAATTGTTTGTACTTACCACTACTACTTTTTGCATTGGGGGAGCGTCAACTTCTAACAATCTTTCACACGGAAACAGATACCATAGGAATTTTCAAGTCTGCAGATGATCAACTCTCAGACTTATACCCACAGCCACCACTATACCCACACCAGGAGAAAATTGGAGCGTTTAACGCACTGGTACATACAATATCGAATACTCTAGAACGTTCAGAAAACATAGTCCTTGATACCTACCGTGCCAAGGTTTCTGAGCTAGTTAGTTCTCCAATAATTTTCTTTGAAATATGACCATTGATACATAAATTTTACAGGAATTCTGTTATCAATCACTTATTAACAAAGATATGGATGTGAGTGATGACGAAAACAGAGAAGATGTCTCTAGCTACCATAGAGCAAATTTCGAAGCAAAACAGTTCGCTAAAAATTCCAAGGACCTAGCCAGAGCAGTCGAAAAAGTTGTAATCCAAATCAGTACCATCAGTAGCGTGGTTCAATCTCAAATACAGATTCTCAAAGATCTACGAGAAATCTTTCGCCTTAGCATTGGTTTGGCAAGCAGGCGGCCTCAGGGAGCCAACTTACAAATACCAATTATGTCGGATCAAAAAGAACAAGTCCGTGCAGCCGAGCGAAGCCTAAGCTTTGTTATTAAAGATCGATATAGATTTTCTAAGACACTTGATGCCTTGACCAAGGATGTAAAATCCGTAGGTTTCTTCCAGATCTAACGCATCAAAAACAGGATATTGTTTAATAACGTTATGTAGTTGTCGGGATCCTTGGCAGTAAGAGGAACTCAGACTGCGATCGCGCGACAAAACACCACCATGTCAACACTTGCGCTTATTTCAACGTTATTTTTTCCGTTGGGATTTTTTACTTCGGTAAGTTTCCAAGACAGTTAATAATCTGCAAGATAGCGCAATAGAGTATTGATTAGTATGTTTGGGAGACATAGTACGTCACACTAGATGCTGCTAAAACCGTAGCCAGGACACAGTCCAAGTTCTTGAGATTGCCTGGACCAATCGCTGCCGTTTTCATAGTTGCAACTCTAGCAGTCATCGCCCACAAAAACGGCCTCACTGATTCTTTTATGAAAAGGCTTATGATGTTGCGGTTGAAGCTGAGAAACTATCTTTTAAAAATACTCATGAAGAAAAGGATGCGGCCACAGCAGCATCGCAAAAGTGGGCAGAACGGTGCGATCTAGATCTAATCAGACACTGGACAGCTGAGTTTAGCTCGAGTCGACACACAATTTTCTTTCGTTTTTTTTATACCCTTGATGAAGTCATGATTATGATAGCTATATAAATAATGTAATTCACGAAGATGGTACTTGTGCAAATTTGAAGCTGGCCCACATCTAGGGCAGTTTTCGCCAGTTGTGAGTACATACGACGTGCTCGTGTTATATGAAGCAAACATATTATATCACTTGTCCATCCCTTGGCAATTAAAATGCCACTCAAATATTATGTAAGTCTGCCTGTCAAACATGGAAAACATGAGCTTTGTCAGGCGAGCACAGTCCGCATATCGTTTTCGGCGCATGAATTGTAAGAATGACTGAATTGAACCAAAATAATATATACAAAAAAATCTTAAAGAAGGATGCCAAAACTAGAAAGAACGATAGTTCAGTTAGCTTGCCACTGCAAGCTAGCCGGTGCAGTCGGGTTAAGGTCGAAAAGCCACAACTACTCGTCATCTTCCTCGTCCTCAAGATCCGAGGGAGGCGTGCTGTCAGGCTCGTCCTCCACATCACTCGCGTCGTCCTTCGTTCCTTCGATGTCTTGTTTTGTGTTTTCGATTTCTTCCGTTGAATCCCACTATGCGAGATAAAATCAGTCAAATGTATACATATATATATATATATATAAGCGGGGTGACTTACGTATGGTGAAATAGCTCCAAGAAGAAGCTTTGACAACAAAATCCACTTCTTCTCTTTGTCCTTGATGTCCTCGAGTCTGTTGTTCACTGTTCAAGATGTTAGTGATAGTAGATTGTATGAATATCAAGGCCAGGGTTACGTACTTGGCAGGCAATCAATGTATTGTCCTACTGAAGGATGGTCATCAAGGTCCTGAATCAGTTTCTGGGCACCGGTGTCGTTTCCAACACGAGAAAACTGGAACGCGACAGATTGTGGTCCCTTGGCGCCATCCTTTGACAGGCTTGAGATACAGTTGATAATGACAGTTTCCAGAAGTCCGGTGGCTTCACCCTCGGGCTATAGGAGACAAACAGCCAATCACATCAGTAGAAATTCTTCCTAGACAGGTTTCCAAAACAATTCGGGGTCTTACCGCTCCATCAGTGATGATCATAATAAGCAAAGGCTTTGCCATATCCTTGTTGACAAACCTATCAAGGATCTTCTTCTTCAACTCGGTACCTATTCTGGTAACACCCCCGTAGTTGTGGTTTTTGAGGACGCTCTTGACAGTCTTGACGGTGACGTTCTTCTTTCCTTGAGGTGCGTTCAAGAACCTAACTGTGATGATACCCTGGTCTCTTGCAAGGCCGTAGACATTCGCAATGTTGTCGAGGGTCTTCTGCAGAGTCTTGATACGCTCACCATTCTCCTCGTACTTCATAGAGTCGGAGTCATCTATCATAACAATCAGAAACCTGGCGCCTAGTTGGCCGGCTTTGGGGGAGGATACAAACCAATAAGAATAGCAAGATCATAAAGAGTCATGATACCAAACTGATTTGCCATTTCCCTCGAACATCCCTTAGCCCTCAGCTCGTTGACCATCTTAGCAGCCTTTTCGGCGAGCTCATTCGGGATTTCGGGGTAGAACGCCTCAAGTTTCTTGACCTTGACTTGGTCTTGAAGTCTCTCTTTGCACTGCTCTGTAGTCATCTCACTGCCTGTATTTTGTAGGGATACAGCAGCAAATTGTTGTTCGACCTTGGACATTGGTGTTGTTGGGACGTCAGTGACGACTTGGGGGGTCTCGGTTTCGTCGACGGTAGACATTTTGGCTGTTTCTTCTATTGTTTCGCACGGAGAATGTAAGGTAGGTTTGATCAGTGAAGAATTGACTTTCTACCTGGTGGAGTCGGCGTCCATGGCAGACTTATATTTCGAAAGTCGGGGTATCAAATCCAACTAGACACTGCGCATGATATGTTCTCACTACACCTCTACAATTGGAGATTTATCCGTGATTGACCAAAAATGTCCGTTTCTAGAGTATAGAAACTGGTGTATTCAAACATGCATGAAGCTTAGGTTTCTAACGTGTAATACTACTGTATGTCAACACAGACTGCAGATACTTTAAATCGTTCCGATAGGTTTGTTTCATTGACTACTTCTCTTCTGAAAACGATATGGCTGTAAGGAAGGACACTGTCCAGTAATGTTACTTAGGAGTAACTTGACCCCGCTATTAACCCCACTATGCATGAAATCATCATTTCAGATTGCTGGCACTTCCAACCCTGTAAATTCTTTGAGAAGTGCTAGGATGGAGTGAAGCTTTTCCTCTTGGAGATGTCTGAAACTCTAGCCCTCATGGCATTCTCACCAGCTATCAGCTAGATACAGTTCTACGTACCAAGGCGTATAATCTAGATCACATGAAACGATATAAATTTGGCGCTATAGAAAACTACAGCACCGTAGGACCATTAAGTTATGTAAATTGGTGGTGTCTAAGCCCGTAGACACGTGGAGAGCTGCATATCACGATTAATCAATGGAACAAATAAAAGTAGTATCGATTGAGTCCATTTAGAGGGGATTACGTGAAGATCATCAAAAAATTGCAAAACCGCGGTCATAAACGAAACGCGCAAAATTTCGACTTATCGATAACTATCAATACGGCCACTAGAAACGCCCCGATTAAAGTGTAACTACATTGCCTGGGCTGTGCTGCCGTGAGCATGTCCCGTGGGAGAAAGCGAATAGTTACACAGCTGCCCCGCTTTGCAAGACAGAACGACCCGGCAGGTACTCGCAGAGGTTGAGATAAGATTTCGTGGCCAATAAAAGCTTATCCACAAGTAAACACGTCACAAATAACCCCGCAATTCCTTGCGCAGCTTGGCTCTTAACTTCAGCTTCATTTTGCACGATGCAATCCCACCATGATCTTCACGATCCCGTTCCCGCACAGAAACGAGGTCGGGAAAACCCCTCAACGGTACTGTATTCAGCTAATCATATTTCTTTAGCCTTGACTACCCACTAATTGCACCAGCCAACCAGCCATCTTATTCAACGACGATTAGAAAGAAGGGAACACCATGAGGAAAACTGCCGACTCTATCATGTACTCGTAGCTTCATGACGTTTCCGAACACGACTAATATTGCATACCATACAAAAAAGCGCCAAATCCACCTTTTTGTATGTCATGCAATATTGGTCGTGTTCGGAAACGCTATGAAGCTACGAGTAGGCATGTCATACAAAATCCGAAGTAGTGCATTTAGCTTCATTGCCTAATTTGTCAGAAAAGAGAATCATTGCCCTACTTTGTGCTTGATATTAAACGTCTGTCTCGTGCCCAGCCTTCTTCTGATTGGTCAATAGTCCGGTGTGCACCCGAAGAAGAGAAGCTGTGTGGTACAAACCTTGGCGCCAAGCGGCTTTTGGCTGGGCACGAGACAGCTGGTTTGCTCTAGAGTACAACACTTAACCTTGTGCCTCCAAATAGATATATTTACCTAATCTACACACATATGGATTTTAATCATTCTGAGGTCTTTTGAATTATTTAAACTTTGCAGGTTGGCAAACCCTTGTCCGACAGCTTCCAAAGGAGAGTGAGTACATGTAGGTAGGCGGCAAAAGAGTTAGACATGAAGGTGTAACGGGGATCCAGAGATGTCTTCAATAACACATCAATGGCCGATATCTCTAGAAGAAGCGTCACAACATGAATAGTCAATACATACATGTAGCTATATATGATCTATGTTGGCTACAGATTTATTAATTAGTAGAGGGAAGCCTCACGTACCATTCCTATGATACCTATTTACCTTTAAGCACTAATAGTTGGTCTCGTAGCATGATAGCCTCTAGAGTACTACACGACATCAACACCATGAGGACCCAACTCATGATTTGTTCTCACTATGCCAAGACTGGCAGCGGAGCGATACTAAGACATTTCGAGACCCCGTGAGACCTCCCGTGACGGTCCCGTTTAAGACACCTTGGCGCTCAAAGGCCGTTTCAATCACCCAGCGAGCAGTACGCGGCGAGGGCGGCCTAATGTTCCTTTCCAGTTGTCTCACGAAGTCTCACGAGATTTTAAAGACTTCCCGCTATGAGAAATCCTCCCAAATCACTAACATATAACTAATCAATTGGAACAGCAGCATATACATCTAATTGAATTTAAATCAAAATCTTTTTTTATTAAAAAATACGGGCAGCCAAATGCTTAAAGAGGATGCGATTTTCTCCAATAAATTTAGTTACACTGTAGACTAAGTAGCTATAGGAGACCGAATTCGCGAAGGCTTGATCACTCTTCATGTTCAGGTCGACTCGCAACTCGCATTCTTTCACTCCTAAGAAATCTTTACTTTCCTGTAACGATTGCAATAATATACCTCGATAATGAAAATTGACATCTCTCGTAACAGAAATCATTACTTGACTACATTATTCTCATTTCTCCCAACTACGTTCCGAAGAGAATTGAAGTTATTCCCATCGATATATGGTTACGGATTAGTCTTATCTCGAGTAACCCTTAAAGAACTACAGTATCAGGTATAACCCTCAGATTGTGAAGAGCCTATAGCTACTACAAGTACGTACTAATGTAGTTATGTATGTACGCTTTCGGGATTCTCCCCTCGCCTTCAATGATATGATATGTATATAAAGCTCCCATCAGCGTTCTCGGTGAGTTATACCAGATATAAGAGTGAATTTACTACCTTCATAAAGTAAATGGTGAAAAGCATATAAACCTCGACTCATGGCAAATTGGGTCACGTATTATCACTCGGATTTTCTATCGGGTAGCGGATTTTAGCACCCTTCGTCTATTCCCGGTTTTTATAATTGCCGAACTTCAGGTGGCATGATAATATATAGACACAGTTCTAACACCGGGTGGTCGAGCCAACCACTTTTTGGGGCGATTTCGCGTGACAAATGAATGGTTTGCAACTTTGTTTGGTGAGCCATTGATATCACAACCCTCAAAAACAGACCGAAGAATG